TAAATTATATATATAGTAGAATAAGCACTTCGAGTAGCCTACTGTACTATAACTAATACAAATTTTCATCAAATATTTTATTAAAAAAATGTTCAAATCATCCCCTATTTTACCCAGGGGGTCCCCTATTTTACAAAATACATTTTCATATCCCTAAGATATATTTTTGCGACGAAAAGTACAAGTCGTTCTCCTAGGTCCCATCTATCTCTATACTAAAATTCATCAAGGTTCATCGGTTTAGACGTGAACTTCATTCCTCTGAAAATGGTTCGACTTTGTTTTATTACTGCGATGACAATTTTGGTATAAATTTGCAACACAGAAATGTCTTACAGCACAAGTATCGTTTGTCCGAAAACCTATTATTAGAATAATTATTACACATACGTATTCTTTGCGCAGAAGTTTGTTTGGTCTAATCATGTTTGTTATACTGTCTGTTTTCCATATAATTTAGATTGCTGAAAATTCATTTCGACAAAATTATTATTCTTAGATATGTAAAGTGGTACCGCCATACAATTTTACCGCACAGCTCCAAAACTCTGGACTGTACTTCGCTGGTGCATTGCAAGTGTGACGAGGTGCATTGTGCGACACGATCTAATTCATTTAATATCTGTAATAAAAGATAATATAACAAAAATGTGTTATGGATATCGTTTATTCACAAAACAATAAAAAAATGTGGAATCGAATAACTTGTATATATGTCAAAATCTTAAGAGGATGGAAAAAAGGACAAAATAGTGAGACAATAATGGTGTAATGAAAAAACCATAACGTGTTTTCGGACAAATGAAACAAAATCTATTTAATAAAATTCTAAAGGTTTTCGGAGAAACAAAATTCTGTAAATCGTGTTTCTAGCTTGTGATGGGTAACCGTTACTGTCGCATTTCGATGCCTTACTTTCTCAAACTCGTATCTTATAAGATGGCAAAACTTTCTATTTATTTCTTATCTTATTAATTCTTATTAATTTCTTATCAAGAGGTAATTTGCATGTATTACTAAGCCAGTGTGTGAATATGAAGGAAATGTGATGTGAAATCAGCCTGCAAAATTTGTATAAACAATCCATTTTTTGTATTTCAGTAACTTTGTGTTATAGGATACGAGTTTGAGAAAGTAAGGCGACGATTTATAATGTTATAGTTTGGATATTACATTTATAAATGGTTGAGCTTTTATTTAGCTTAGCTTATTATTATTTAGCTTAGTTTATAAATATATAATAATAATAAGCTTTTACGAGGGCGGTTTGATAAGTCCGTGACTTTGACTAAAAAAACATTTTTTATTTACTCATGGTCTATTTTTCTACGTAATCTCCATGTAACTCTATACACCTTGACCAACTATATTCCAACTTCTTCAACCCATTAAAAAATATTTATTGTCAAATTGAAAAATAAGCCCCTGTTTCAGCCCCTTTTTTCTATATCTATGGTTTCAGCTATCACTTCCTCATTTGACGCAATACGGTAAAAAATTTGATAAAAAATCAATCGCAAAATCTGGTGAATTACGGGGGGGTGCGTTACGTGCGTTTACGGTTCGTGTCGTAATTCGACTAGTTTTTATATTTTGATGGCATATGACAAACAGAATACCTGAAATTCTGTTCCATTCTCAAAAAAAATATCAATATTACCAAATTTTTTTATTTCTAATTTTTTTTTATTTTCGCGCAAATTTTAATTTATTTCTTTATTGCCACTGGAGCGCACCGGCTGCTTCAAAAAGGCTTGTACCCTGCTGCGAACATTGATACGCTACATTAACGGGGCAGCATCCTGAACGCTTTTTTTTATATTGAACACTTAGGGCGTTTTTGAGTGCCATGCACAGGTTGCAAGCATAGAACGATCGGCAATAAGTTCTAAACAAGGTCTCTCTCACGTCTACTGCACAGCTCTGAAATCTACGGATCCAATATATTTTAAAATATATTATATATTAATGCATATATGATGTATATTTTTTTTTTTTTATTTCTTAATGGTAAACTAGAAGTATATACATTTATATTTCTAAATTAAACAATGAAGTAAACTAAATCAGTTTACACTTGTAGAAATAAAGTAACTTAAATAAGTAAGCACTCTAATAAAAAAATCAACAGAAATAGAATTTTACAATATAACTTAATAAAAAGACTATCCTAAGAAATAAAAAAGACTTTCCTAAGAAATAAAAAAGAAGTCGCTGAGTAATTTTCTCGCTGTGACAATTTTGGTACCTATTAAAGATATACTATAGAAGAGATACTATAATATATAGCTTAGGCGGCTGAATTCAGTCAAAATGTCTATTTCTTTTATCACAAAACACTCAATTTAACGCTATTTGCTTTGTATTCTCTCTTCTAAACCAACTTTGTTGCGTCTATTCACATAACATCTTTAATAGCAAGTGGTCACACCAATAATGTCATAATGTATCTTACATCCGTTAGGAGTGATTTCCACGCAGCTTGCAATATTGTACTATAACCTAACCAACTTCTAGTAGAGTGAACCTCACTACCACATATGTACAAATCCGAAGAAAGTCCCGACGCCCCCTGACCAGATGGAATGCCATTCTGCGAAAGGCTCCTGACAGCAGATGACTGCAACAAGCTGAGGACCGGGTGAATTGGCGCAATTTGGGAGAGGCCTATGTCCAGCCGTGGACTGCAATAGGCTGATGATGATACCGCCAGGTCCTCGTCGTACAAAAATCCATTAATTCGTAATATAATCGACTACCACAATCTGCATTAAATTATTTCATAGTAAACAACGTGAAAAGCACCAGAAAGCGTCTGTAAAAATCTTTATAGCCAGGGTTTCAATGGCTGCACCATTACAACCGGGTTTATGGCTTCATTTTTGATCGAGTAACTATTACAGCAAATTTTTGATAATTCTTTTGCTCCGACTGTTGTATTATATGTTTTGTATTATAACTTGGTAAAGAATCAAAAATAAGATTTTAGTAAATGGAATTTGAAACAGCTCCGACTGTTGTGGCGGTCGAGCAGGGAGTGACCGTGGTACGAAAACAAAATGAGAAAGTGAAGGAAGATGGAACAATTCAAATTTAAAACTTAAATACAAGTAAAAGAAAAAATGATTGGATACAAGCGGAGAGAGGCGATACAAAAAGGTGAGATGACGGTGTAAGGAGGTCACACCGTCACAAACGAGTTCATGAAAGAATCCTTCACTACTTCAGCAGGCTCACTCAACACTATAGATCATATTACATAACTCGAATATAAATACAAAGTGAGTAGGTATCAGGAATTAATAAACTCGAAGCAAAATATTATTATTTCAGCAATCGTGCGGGTTCGCGTGACTGAAACGAAATTAACTCGCGTGATGAAATTTATAAGGGCCGATACACCTTATAAGTTCATTAACGTCATCTTATAGTAGCAATGAGAACTGATTTTATTTAAATTATTTTATCATTTCAAATGAAAAATCTACGACAAGACATTGTACAATATTATTAGGTAATAGCAATAGACCATCACTTAAAAACTAGTAGTTATAAAATTAAACTAAACCATTACACATCAGCCTATATGCATAGCATAGTAATACAAAAAGTGTACAACTCCATACAAATATAATATAATAATAATAATAATAATAATAACACATTCTCATAATTTCGCGTTGCACTCCAATTGCATAGAGCGGTCGCACGCGCCATTCATAATACAATTGAAGCGTTCGCTTGGTGTTTTAAAAATAATGTGAAATAGTAGACGTGTTTATTGTTGTATTTATGCTTATTTTGATTTATAAATGAATGATTACATGCATACAAACCCGCATTTAATTTCTATTTCATAATCGTACTCCCTTAATCCAAACACCACCCGCGATGCATGTATAAGTATATCAATAATATGGAAGATCAGCATTAGACAAAGGTTGTTTCAAAATAACCTGAGAATACTGTGATAAATAATATCATATTTTTTCAAATTATACTTATAATCTATATGTAATACCAGAAATAACAATGTGACAGCCCTACATTTTAGTGATGTAGGTATACGCATTGTAAGCTTGGGTAAAAATAACGGTATGTCAAAAATCGATATTTTATCATGAAATAATCGATATAATAATATATCGTCGATTTAATCTCGATGTATCCAAAAATCGATATTTTTTCGAACATCAATATAGATATTTTTGTTATCGCAGCCAATATTTGAAGATAATATGTATGTACACATAGAATATATTAAATATATATAAATAATAGGTATATAAATACAAAATCTAAAAACATAACTTTTGCTAGCCTTGGTAGAGCTTCCTAGTCCATTAAAATGATGGTTAATTCCTTTCCTTCCACATCTTGCAGCAGACGACCATAATTTTTAACTGGCCTTTCTTTGCTACAATTTTCAATAACTTCAACTCGTGTCTGTAATTTTGCTGATTTTACTTTATACTAATGTACTTAATAGTATATTTATCGCAATAAGCATCGATAATGTTTCTAATAAAAGTAATAAATATCGAAACGATATTATATCGATATACTGCCTTCAATAATTCAAAACATGAGGAACTACATAAAAACAAAACGGTGAGACTAAACCAATGTTGAGTTTTCGCCAATAGGGGTAATAGTGCTTAAAATCCCTAAATGGACTTAGGAATTTCTTGAACTAGGTTCATTCGATTGCGCTTCCCTAAAGCATTGACGCGCCGAACACTTGAGTTTGTTGAACATGGGTCTCTTCATTAAAAAATTATTATTACACACGTCGTCGTCAAATTTGAAAGGAGAAAAAAAATTTGAACGCATAATCCACTCTTTTGCCATGAAACGAACGAACTCACAAAATTCACAATGTCAAAGTGACAGATCAGTTGAAGCTGAAAATGAAACTGGAATTATTCTAGCAGAAGAAAAACAAATTAAGTTTTGTTCTTTAAATTTCATTCGCTATTCCTTAACTGTCTAACACACCACAATGGTTCGTAGACAGCGTGAACAAAGCACTACTGAGGATGAAATCGTAATCGGTAAGTACACAATTTTGATCACTCACACTCGCTGTCGAAATTCAATTATAAAATAACTATTGTGCGCCTGTTACTTGCAGATACACCGCCCCAAAAGAAGCATAAAAGACACAAACACAAAAAACATAAGAAAAGGAAATTTGACGATGAATTTGACAGTGATACATCAATCGATGTCGCGTACGAAGACACTGGGGATAAACCTTATAAAATGAAAGTCAAAACCGGTAAAGAAGTACCTGGTACTTCAGCTGCGGATCTTTTGAAAGCTCAAACAATGAAATCGTCATCAGACTCGAGGCGATCAATGCCTGGTTCCTCCTCAAGCACACCTCCCAAAGCGTCAACAAAAAAAAAGAAGAAAGGACGCGACAGCGCAACTTCAAGCGAAGAAGAAAGGTGGCTGGATGCTATTAAATCTGGAAAGCTTGAAGAAGTAAGGTTACAAGCAGTTCACACAATTCTCTGAAAATTGTAGTTAAGTTTGTCTCTATTATTTCCATTTTGTATTTGCAGGTGGATGAAGAACTGAAGAAGATTAAACCCAAAGACCCCAAAATGATGACAGCACGACAAAGAGCTATGTATGAAAGAGGCACAGACAAAGAGACGAGTCCCGGTGGGGAGGTGTTGCTTGCTTTACCCTCAGGATATAAAGAAAAAGTTATGACAGCAGAAGCAATACAGAAAGCTGCACTCAAATCCCAGAAGAGAAAGCAGTTAGCAGATGAAAAGAGAGAAAAGGATAAAAAGAAAACAATGGATAGACTTCTAAAGAAACAGGAATCTAAGAATTTAAAGAATGCTCAAAAAGGGAAGCCTGCTAGAAGGCTCGAACCTATGATAATATACAAAAACAATACTAAGGGCATCTCATTGTCATTGCCCATAGGAGTACCATATCCAATGGAGAGCAAACCTCCAGTAGAGCCTCCAAAGCCAGTGCTCTGTGGTGTGAGTGGATGTGAGAACATAAAGAGATACAATTGTTCAAAAACTGGCATACCTCTGTGTAGCCTAGAATGTTATAAACAACATATGACAACTGTAGCTGGATAATAAAGAGCCAAAAACACACTATTGTAGTTATTGCCCTAAATGTAGATTTACTTGCAAACATTGTTGTTATATTATATAGTTAGTTATTGTGTTATATATAATCAATCTTGTCCAATAAGAGATGATTTTTTTGTTTTGTGTAAATTTTACACAAAAATAAATAAAAACAATTTGAAGACAGCTAAACAGTGAGCATATATTTTATAGAGTTTAAACAATTATATATAGATTTTTATAACTATATTACATCTTGAAAATACATTATAATAATAATAACAAAATCATACTATGAGGCTTACCAGTCTTAAAATGATGTGGGGGGAGAGTCTAAGATGAAATTAAACGACTATGGCATCTTACAATAATAACTTAAAATGATATAAGACTGCATTTGTTTAAATGTGGAATATTACAGAACCCAAAACAAAAATATAAATCACTTCTAAATTAATGTTAAATGTTACACCATTTCAAAAATACTTGTATACTTTTCTACACTTATTATTGTAAATTTAATTCTGACAAATACAACATTGATATAAGACATATCAACTAGTTTTATACTGAATCGAATAGCCTCCAAACTGTCCCTGCATCGTGAATTAAATTGAATGAATAAACTTTAAATAATAAATATCAGACTAGACTGTTTCACAATCTAACTAATTTTTACTATGTTATCTAAGAAAATCTATTTTTATAAAGCATTACTATGTACAACATAGTCCATTAGATTAAGATTTGAAAATGTCTCTTATACTTAAATTGTAGCAGTGGCAGTAAATCACAATAATCATAATGGTGAGCTTTCACAAAAATGTCAGGAACAAGATCTTACTCTAGCTAACAAACAACACTGATTTGGCAATTACTTGAGCGATGTAAGTAATTTTTATAGTAACATTAAAATATTTCAAAGCTTGTACATGTATATTTATAATTCTTATAAGTTTACTAAATATTCTATTATACACTTACAGAGTTTACAGACACAGATATAATTGAAATTTAAACATCCATGGAGAAGAGAAGTTGCTCTTTCATTTCCACTTTACTACACACATCAAGAGGGAACATCAATAATAAATACTGTAAGTTTGGTATTATAACATTGAATTGTATACTAAACAAATTTCAAATACAGAATTACATCCATCTATGGGATTTACAAGGATATGTGACAATACTTTGTACAATTACATTTGTGATATAGGTACTCTATACTATTTTCTTTTCTAGGTTTCTCTTTGTTATGTCTACTTTACTCCAATATACACAGAACGGATATGTAAACACATAAACATTTATGAAAAGATGTCCTTAAAATTTTTCACTTGAACCACAATGCCTCCACATTACATACCTTCAATGTTTGTTCATGAGAGAGCTCACCACAGACAACATCACAGAGACAGGGCTACAGCTCAGAAAATTCTACAGACCGAAGCAAGGCAGCCAGCAAAATGACAGAATTGAACCAGCTCTGTATCAGACATTTGTTCGCTTAGAGTTTCTGAGGCGTGCCAAGCCGGACTGTAACAGCTAAGATTGATTGTTCTGTTTGTTGGAACGAAGTCGCGCAAGTCCAGAGCGCTCCTCTTCCTCATCACTGGTGCACGAAAGGCCACCAACAGCACCACGTGATGACGTTGCTTGAATCAAATCTTGATCAGGGCCATTTCGGCTCTCATATAGTAATATGCCCAAAGTCTCCTCATAAATTCTAGCCTCAGGAAACTCAACTTTGGTATGTTTTTTATCAGTGGCATACACAATAGAAGTGCAGCAAACTTCAGCACATTTTTTGCCATGGCCAAAAAAGGACCAACAGCAAATCTCATTAGATCCAATTACATCTTTTATGAACAGCACCCGTCCACTAAAGCGTAATGACAGTTTGTCAAACAATTCAATGTTCTTCAACAAGTTGTCATCAGATGTGCTTGTGTATGAGTATTTGTTGTTGTGCCGGTTGATCAGCAGCTTAACCACAGGCTGAAAATTATAATGTATGATTATTAATACAACACAATTCATCAAAGGAACAAACACCATTTTCTTTAATAAACAGTTCAAAGGCTTACTTTTGCAGTTGCCATAATGAGCAACTGCTCTTCCTTTTGAGAAGTTATCAAAGGTACTCTACAGATTGGCTCTGCATCTCTTTCCTTTTTGGCTAGAGCTTGCTGACAGGACTCTGTCAACTCTTCAATAAGAAAATATTTGGCTTCTGCCAGAAGCTCGTTGATATCACGATAGTTGTCTGGCAAAGCCACTGTGCCATCACGGAGGTAGTTTAAGATTGTGCCAAAGTGCTTCCCGCAGCGGTCAATTAATATCCACCCTAAAAAGGAAGTTTCAAAGATTAGTGAAAACATTTGAAAATTATGCCAAATTAGACAATTGCATTGGAGACCTACTTTACCTTCAGAATCAGTCAGCACCTCCATCCTGCCACTGAACATTGTTCTCAACATATTGTCACTCTTGGTGAGAGTGCCAATAGTTGTATAAAAAAGAGTACCGCCCACATTCAGCTTTACATACTGTGATGGACTGCCTTTTATCAATGTTTTGTGATCACCCGACATTTTAACTAAGCACGATCGAATTGGGCGAACAGAAAAATGAGGTAGATAACCCGCGAGTTGGACACAATACAACCTTTAATACGCTATTTCTTCATTTTTACATACAAACCACTACTACACAAAACCACGGAAAAAAACTCCCACTCCAGCTCCGAATTGATTTTATGTGAATTTCATCAATCATGGAAATGAAAATGCGCATTCAGTAATGTACCTTTCGTTAGTATCCTTGACAGCAGGATAGGTTAATAACCTTTACCATAAGACAAATAAGGATAGCAATATAAATCGACTGCGGTGAATGGAACGAACAAGCAAAAAAAACGTAGAATTCTACCATAGACCACAAACTTATAACCGAAGTGAGTAAGTATTGCAACAAAATAAAATTTACCCGATTTATCAGATAAACATTGAAAAATAAAGCTAAAATTATTTGTAATATTTTAATATTATTCAACACTTTCTTATTATTAATTATAGACATTTAGGCGGATTCTGATTCTTCATGCTTAAACAAGATTCGATCAAGTATTTATTAAAGAGACAATTATATACGATTCAAATATAATAATCAGTTTTCATCTTTCTGTTCATCTTGCTTCTGTACAAATGTTGGATTTGAAGTTAATTCAGATGAGTATCGGTGTTTCTTTTTCGTTCCGAAAATTAAGGCATCTTCAATAGTTTCTGGCAAATAGGCTTTCAAAGTTTCAGGAATCAATAAAGACGAGACTAATCCTGTTATAGAAATATGAGCTAATATCCTGTCCTAAGTAAGCTAAGTCCTTGAAATTAAACATAAGACTCATTTCCGAGAAAAAGAGTTTTATATTATTAGAATATGATATGATTGAATTTATATAGTATAACAAGATTGGATAAATATATAGTATACGTAATTGGTTGGTACGTGTCATTACTCTGCTACTCAACAAAGTATACTGGAATAATTTATTTTTCTAATTTGCAAACATAATAAACATAATTTGCGAAAAAAATATAGAGACAGATAACAAACACATTTCAAACTTTTGAGAAATATACACACTTTTGAAGTAGGCAATCCCGCCAGTGTAGTGACGACCAAATTTTCTGCAAACTGCGCTCCAACAATATTGGCAAGTATTTCAGCAGCTGATTGCCAAGCGAACTCTAAGAATGGATTAACATCCACTTTTCAACCTGAACTCATTATTAAAACGTCATGGCAGCATGGAAACGCTTATCCTGAAATTAAACTTTAAAATGTTCATATACATACCTAATAACAACAAGCATTCTCAAAGTAGTGTGAATAGGTATATATAATGCATATCTTTAAATTAATTACCGCATTTCTAGATAATCACTAGTTATAGGTTCCTCACCACGGTATGCCTAATGGTAACAATAGTCCAGCGAATATCCACGAAAGCGAAAAATCTATAATTACCACATTATCAATTGCAAAACAGTATTCGATGCGTTAGCATCAATGCTATCTTCCACACGAAAAATAAAGCTAGTGGTCCAAATGTTTTAGAATTACGAATAGTGGAATATATATGAAGATCTTTTTCCGCTTCCAGGTTTAATTTTCTCTAATTATATTTTGCTATTGTTCTTAGCTGTCATACACATTCATTCGATCTTCCTTCAATCCAGAGCCAGCGAGGAGACTCAATAATTTTCCTGTAATGTAAATGATTAAGTTCAGACAATTCATCACACTTTAAAGGTAAAATGAATACAATCGTCATTATAATTGTCGTACTACGATAATAATAAATGAGGCAGACTCATTGCTATAGTTAAGGCTAGAAAAAGTTTCCATTCTCTCAACCACCAATATAATAATGCCATTATACAAACACTGGAACTAAAAGCAGCAAATCTTAGTGAAGTAGTTATAGTTCGTCTTTGAGGGAGAGGAAGATATTTCGACGGATATTACTGAGGTACTTTGTGTTGCAGACCAAGACGGGAGACTAGCTGTGACGCAACCACACACAAAAAGGAAATATGACTGGCTTGCAAGTAAAGCTATGATACGTCTGAGGATAGCTGGGAATAGAGCTATGATGTACGTAGGGCGACGACCATATATGTAAACACGTAAATATTATACTAAACTTCAATACCATTAGATCTTTTATTTATGTTTTTTGTTCATCATTTGAGAATAACGAGGTATGAACATGGATTGATTATTTTCTACACTAGGAAGGTACTTCAAATAATGGCTTCTCTGTTGAAAACAAAACGAAGTCATTGCGCTACGTCCACATTATATTTATTTATTCTATATTAATTTATTTATTCAAACTAACTATCAACCAGCACAAGCTTTTCAGTAGTTAATAAACCAATTGTATGATTTCGACTTCAAAATTACACATACGTATCACTAAACCATCCAAATATTATGGATGCAATGAGTTCCCCTATTCTCATGTAAGCAAAAATATTTCCCGCCTTCAATTCTTCATCACATACCCAATTATTTTTTGAAGGGACGGGGAAGGGATATTTTTGACACTCTGAAAATAAATTTTGAAATATTCAAAAGTAAAAATTTCCTTAACTGAACTTCTAACATACTAACATACAATTTTTGTATATTTTACCCTTTGTTTCATTACTTACTTTGTTTTATTTTAGTGCCGAAGACAATACAAAAAGACTTTGTGCCGGATAGTGCTATATGGGGAGAAAGAAATGCTGAGCAGATAAATCAATATAGGCAGATATGTGCAGCTGGCTTGCGTGATATTGATTTTCCTGCTGAGTTTAGAAATTGTTCTGACGTAATTTGTAATAATTTAGAGCATAGACAAATAATTGATAACATTTATAACAAAATAGTAGAAACTTTAAGAAATGCCGCAGCCTTAAGTAATAATAATAGTATTAATAAAAACGTTAAAAAGAAAAAGTTATATGTAACAGGTTGGAATAAGCATGTTAAACTAGTACATGGGGAAGCTCGGCTTCGGTTTCAGGATTGGGTAGCTCACGGCAGGCCCACGTCAGGACATATATATGAATTAATGCGAAACTCACGTAAAATATTCAAAAGTAAGCTTAAATGGTGTGAGGACAATGAGAACCAGATTAAAATGGATATTTTAGCGACTCGGCATATGGCCAAAGATTTCAGTAAATTTTGGAAAGAAACCAACAAGTTGAATCCGAAGCGGAGTGTCCCTGTGAGTGTAGAGGGCATTAATGATCCTGTCTAGATCGCCAACCAGTTTAGGAAACATTTTAAAATATGCTCTACGTTAGGTCCTGCCAAGGTTACAATGGAGTTGAGTGAGAAAAACATTGGAGAACCTACTAGGCGCGTCACGGCTAAGGAGGTTAAGAGAGTGGTGAGGGACATGAAGCGAGGGAAATCCCCCGGTCATGACGCGCTCAGCGTAGAGCACCTACAGCACGCGGGCGTTCACTTATCGAGGGTGCTCGCCATGCTATACTCTTTTTGCGTTAGCCACTCATATCTGCCACAAGCTATGATGAAAACTGTGGTTGTTCCCATAATTAAGAATAAGACTGGGGATTTGTCTAGTATAAGCAATTATAGGCCAATATCACTTGCAACTATAATAGCCAAGGTGCTGGACGGTGTGATTGACATTCAATTGCGACAGAATCTAAAGTTAAATGATGCTCAGTTCGGTTTTAGAACTGGGCTTTCGACTGAAGCGGCCATATTGAATCTTAAACACACCGTTCAGTACTACACGGATAGAAACACGCCTGTCTACGCCTGTTTTCTAGACTTATCTAAGGCTTTTGATTTGGTGGTGTATGACAGGCTGTGGCAGAAGTTAGCGAGTGATACTGACCTGCCTCCTGAGCTCGGATCCCTACTGAAATACTGGTACGGTAATCAGAGCAATGTTGTGAAATGGTCAGGGCACTGTCGGATGTGTACGGGCTGGAATGTGGCGTAAGGCAAGGCGGGCTGACTTCTCCGACCCTTTTCAGCCTGTACAGAAACCGCTTGATTTGTGGGCTCGGAGATGCTCGTGTCGGCTGCTCGGTTGATGGTGTGTTTGTAAACAACATCAGTTACGCGGACGACATGGTATTGCTGAGCCCATCGATCAGCGCCCTCAGAAAGTTACTGGCGATTTGTGAGTGTTATGCGTTGGCACATGGACTTAAGTATAATGCCACTAAAAGCAAGTTTATGTTATTTAAAGCGGGCCTAAATACATACACCCGCGTCCCACCAGTATATTTGAATGGTAGTGTGCTTTCGCAAGTTACTAGTTTTAAGTATTTGGGACATTGGGTTACCGAGACGCTAGATGATGGTTTGGATATAGAGAGGGAGCGCAGGGCTCTGTCAGTTCGCGCAAATATGCTGGTTCGTAGGTTTGCACGGTGTACTGAACAAGTTAAGGCTACACTATTCAGAGCGTATTGTCAGTCGTTTTACACGTGCGGCCTATGGGCCAAATATACGAAGAAGTCCTATACTGCCCTGCGCACCCAATACAATAATGCGTTCAGGGCTTTGATGGGTCTGCCACCGTATTGCAGCGCGTCAGGGATGTTCGCGGACGCACAGATAGACTGCTTTTCGGCAATAATTCGCAAGCGAGTCGCGTCCCTGATGCGGCGGGTGCGGGGCAGCTCCAATACATACCTGAAGCTTTTCGCGTCGAGAATGGATCTGGACTGTCCAATAATGCGGCACTGGACGAAAATACACATTGAGCATTCCGGTTCCAGGCCGACCTAATAGGTTTATATAAATTGCATGCTATATATATATTATTAGGTAACAATTTGAATTTGATTAATTTGGTTTTTATATTTTTGATGTTAATTTATGTATGTTACTGATATTAATTTTTTATAACTTAAATTTATAATATTGAAAAGCTTTTTAATTTATATTTTATATGTTTTATTTTGATTTATATAATTGATTAATTTAACTTTGTAAACTAGCGTAGGTAAAGTCTAACACTAGTTTTTTAAGTACTTCTACTAACACATATTATGGATTGAATGTCTGAAATAAATAAATTAAATTAAAAAATTAAAATTACTGTTCATAGGATTCACATACATTGAACAACTGCTAAATATTTTTTGTCCATTAGCATTTTCAGTTCTATAACAAAGAAAAGTTTGTAGCATAGATTTTACGTCGCTAAAATAAATTTATGTAATGCGACCCACCACGTTGGCAAATATTTGAGCTTCCATGAATAATCGCTAATGTTTTCGGCTTTGACGGAAGCTCACAGTGATGTGGTATTATTACAAGAGCTAAAATATTGTTTATAAAAACCATAGACCATATTATCATCAAAACCACATTATAAATAATATCAAAGTTTTTCTGAAATTTTCCATTGGTTCCCACTTACTGAGAGCTCGGTCATATGCTGATTCCATAATTTAATTTACAAAATAAAAATGTTATTAGGCAAGAACGTAATGCGGAAAAGCTACTCTTTTAAAAAATGTAAATATTTCATTTATAACGTAATAAAAATGAAAGTTCAAACACGCGGTCTTTTTGAAGGACTTCTAACAATTTAATTACACAAGTATTCTTTATCTTGGTGTTATTAACTGTAGATAACGCAAATCAGTAGGTAATTCTTTACATTGTCTATTAATTTGTTTAAGCGACAGCCACATGCACCAAACCTCACTAGAAATAGACGTATAAACAAACATTAGGATAAATAACACAAATCTTTATAGTACTCGTACATCATCAAGAACTTTATCAAAAAAAAAAATTCTTCCTCGTACCTGTACAAATTTCCAATGAAACTATATACATACCTTTTAATTTCCTATATACTTAGCATACATTTAATAATGATGATGATTTCAATAACGTTTCCAAAACTTTTTAAGCATGGGTCGCGCATGACAAAAAATTGAGTTACCTCTTCTAAAAAATCTGATGCCTTAGTGTGAGTTTTCAAATATGTAAACTTAACTACCGCGTTTGCGTTACGATTTTAATTTAAACCTTATAAATATAAAAATAAAATCTAAATAAATATCTTAACGCAAACGCGGTAGTTACTTTGAATTATTAAAAAATTCATCATTAAAAAAATTAAGCTATGGGGAAGCGGGGCAGATTCGTACATTTTTTTCAACTTTAATTTGAACATATTATAATGAATATTTTTTGCCTAATTGATAATGTAACTAATAAACATTACTAATTTAATATTTTTTTCTTAAATAGCATTGAACAATTGAATGGCAACTATTCAATTCTGTCCCACCTGTTGGATACTTTGATTAATCGCTTAGGACACTTTGATGCGTGAATCAAAGTAGTGTAGCGTACCTAGTTTTAGACCGATTTTGTACATTCTTTCATCTTTGACAGGGTGTACTCTCGAGGTGCTCCCATTGTCACCAAGTCAGAATCTGATAAGGCGATCACACTAGATTCAAAGACCTGAATGGAAAGATTAAGACAATTCTCTTAATGCCTTCAATTTTACTGCTGTGATGCCTTTGCATCATGTCGTCGGATCAGAAAAATTTATTTACCTACTTCTAAATCACAAAATGCAGTACCGTCCAATGTTTAGTACAAGTACTTAACTAAACATTACGCTATTTACCTGCCTATATTTACTAAAAATGGAAAATAAATAAACTTTAAAAAAACTACTTCAAATAGTCACTACACTAAATAAAATAATAAAATACAGATTCAATCCAAATAATAACAATGCATTTAGTACTTTTTATTTATTTTTGTCTTCTTGTACACAGTTTTATAATATAAAATTATTATTGTTATTTACTTTATTTTTCTCAACTTGTGAGCTGGTTTGAGCCATTTGTTATTATTACTATTATTATTATTGGGGCCGGCGCGCGGCGTTACGAACTATGGCATTAAGCCCTCGCCTGAGAGGAGACTCGTGCCCATCAGTGGGACGTATAAACGGATTGATGATCATTATTGATGGTATGTGCTACCTACTGATCGGTTTGAAGTTTAATATTACCACTCAAAAAGTAGTATATGAGAAAATACGACACGTATTTTCAGTCAAAAATTTGCACAGCACATACGCGTACTTACACTCTGGCAAACATGATACGAAAATTGATAGGCAAATTGTAATAAGATGCTGGCAACTAAATTTGTTCCGTTTTCTCATCTTTCTTCTAAAAAAATGTCTATTGTCTATGGAAGTCTTGACTGACCGTGGTGGGCAGCTTGCCGCTTGTGTGGTTTTTGGGTGAAAATTGGCGCCTCAAATTGGTTGTTTTATGATAAAATTACATTTAATGTACCTAACATTCCATTATGGGTGCGTATTTGTCTGAACCAGTTACTGAAAAAGTGTCTAGTGATGAAGCAAATGAGAAATTAGAATGCGGCGCAAGCTCCATGCAGGGATGGCGTGTCAATCAAGAGGTAATATTATTTCGTTGATTACTGTCGGGTTTGTTAAAAGATTAAAATGCTCAATAGTTTTCAGAATAGAGAGTTTTTGCGATTACTGCTGAAACCGGCAATGTGCTTCGCTTTCTGAGGCTACTGCCATGTTCTGTTTTTGTGCATATTTTAATAACTCCGTACTTAATAATGATTTGTAACAATGAATAGCATTAAAAGTCTATGTGATACGGTGCAATTATAGTGATGTACAGCGTGAGACCGTGACTTTGCTATGTTAAATTTGTTGTAGGATGCTCACAACACAATCTTGGATTTCGACGTGAACACTTCTCTATTTGCGGTGTACGACGGTCACGGCGGTGCCGAAGTAGCCACGTACTGTTCACAGAATCTTCCCAAATTCATCAAAAACACAGATACATACAAGAGGGGTGAACTGATTCAGGCTTTAGAAGATGCATTCTTGAACTTTGATGCTACCATTGCCACAAAGGAAGTTATGGACGTATTGAAAGAATTAGCAGGTATGATTCTGAATTCCCAAATATTTTGAAAGCAGTTGGTTACCTCCATCAGTTTCTAGTAATTAGGTATAAGCTTCTCTATTAAAAAAATCTTTAATTACCCTATTCTTGCATGCAGTTTTATGTATTGAAGAGACTACTTCATTTTGATTATTGCAGTAATCTTTATTATTTAATTTCAGTTATATGTATATAAATAAATTAAAGATACTTTACAAGTTGTATTTTGCTACTGATCTAAATAATCCTTAATAAATCTCAGTTAATTTTTTGGTATAATTGTCAGTGAATTGTATTCACCTTATAGTGAGAGAGCTTTACTGTGACTTACGAGTAGAGGCATGGGGACCATACAACAGCCTTAAGTATTTCTTTATACATATAGGGAAGTGTGGGGAAATAGGAGCCTACTAAGGAAAATTGATAATAAAAATATAACCCATAATTTATGCAATTTAAATTTTTATTAGTTATGAATGTACGCTTTATATATCAGGGTAGTAGATAATCACAGAAGAAATATGAAACTAAAATATAATATTTCGTTAAAAAGAATAAAACTAAAACATGTCATTCGCTCCCATTACCCTACAGTTCGGGAAATGGGTGAAATTTGGCAGTGTTTATAAGTGCAGAGTTAAAAACATACAACCAAATACGACTAAAGGCGAAGTCTGCAGGGGTGCCCGTGGGAGATGAACTTCGTCAAATGTTAACGAAGACATAGGAGTGCCGTTTGCGCAAATACAAGCATTGGGAAAGTCCAGTTTGACACTGCTCTCATTACTGGCGCGCTCTCAATACCACACATTCACCTACACCAAGATTTTTTATTTATTATCTTGTAACCATATGCGATCTGTCCTTGAACCATAAACTGATCCGTGCTATAGTTTAATGTAGTTTGGAATAAAGCATCCTGTAACTCTTTTCTTCCTTAGTCATTAAATGGCTGATTGTGTTCTACTGATTCAACTTTCTGGTATTCTTGACTTATGTCATATGACTCAAGCCATCTGGATACTTTTCATCAACCAGAGGTCTTGCCAATACATTTGTATTTACTAATAGTCGTGACTTATACTTTATGTGTCAGTATCTCCTATTTGATAGTTCACATTTCAAGATAGTCATGTATTTCCTGGGCTCTTACAAACCAAGTTCATTGGACTATGGTATTTAGTACACCATTTTGGAATATATCAAGTAAATATCCCGTTTTGCTTTGATGTGATCTCTTCATGTTAGTCTTCTAACTAGATACACTTCCAGGTACTTAACAGTATTAACATGAAGTAAGGTCTGGTTGTTCATTTTTACTTCAGGGCAATTTCAATGTAATCAGTGTAAATGTTACATGTTAAGATTTTGAGGTTCTGGCTTTGATCTTCCATTTTGAGAGCCACAGGTCCAGTTTATCAAGTGAACTTGTAGTTTACGCAATGCAACTTGAGGTTTTATGTCACAGGTAAGTACTAAGGTATCATTTGCATGTGTTGCTGTAAGTACTCTATAGTTTCTTGTACATCACAAATAATGTGTACAAAATGGGTTCTAATACTGAGCCCTGAGCTCCTCCATATTGTAAGAAGAATATCCTATTTTCCGAGTACGATTTGAGTATGACATAGCATGTATGAGGTAAATTTTCATTCAACTTGAAAAACAGACATGCACGACATATCTTATTTGAGTACTTGCTGGATGTCAAGGAGGACCATGGAACAGTACTGCTTCTTTTTCGGAAACCAAATTGCTAATTTGGAATTAGATTCCTGGATTCAATTATAGGTCTCTTTCTATCGACCAGCACCCTTTCAAATATTTTAGACAGCACAGGGAAAATACCTAAATATAATAATTATTGATGCAAAGATCGAACACTCAGAAATAATTCCTTCTATCTGGCCGGATGACTCAAATATAACCAAGAAAAATGAAATGAAGTTTATATTTTTTCTTAATTATTTTATTTTTTTGTGTATGTGCAAAAAATAGCATTTAAGTATTACAATGAAACAGAATAGAAATATGAATAGAAAAAGCAATATTTTGTTAGAGATATTATTACATTCAAGGAATATTTTGCCTTAAAATATTTTTCGTAAGTTTTGAATAGAATATTGATTTCATAGAACAAACAAGTTTGACTTAAGGTCAGCAAAAATAAGAAAATAATAAATGAAAGCATCACGATACAGCACATTCTTTAAAAAAATTCTACTTTGATGGACATGTTATGATTCTTTCCTTCCTTGAAGATGTTACTTTTGCTAGAAATATAAAGATACACCATTAGGTTTTACAATATATGTATATATTAATAAATTATGGAAGGAAGTAAATGTAGTGCCATAAGAAGGGCTTGAGAAGCCAAGTGGAGAACTACAGATATTCATCTTGAGCTGTTTTGATAAAATTTTTGAGCACATTGTTTTCAGGAATATTTACGGTATGATTGCTAACGCGATTCCAGAGCAGCAACATGGTTTTATAAGCGTCGTTCGACTACCACAAATCTCACCGTTTTCACTAGTTTTCTTTTTTCTGCTATGGAGAAACATAAGTACATTGATGTGATCTACTTAGACTTTGAAAAAGCGTTCGATCGTGTAGATCACATCATTCTGTTCCAAAAATTTGATGAATTCAGAAAATGCGGTGACCTTCTTCGATGGATAGAGTCCTATCTGACAAATCGCTCGCAGGCTGTGGTCATGGGTAGGTACAGCTCTAACCCGGTGACGTCCCGTTTGGAGTACCTCAAGGTTCTCTTGTTAATCCCCTTTTCGATAATGCTTACCTGTACGACGTCTATAGGTACATGTTTCAACAACTCTGATTTCCTAACGTATGCTGATAATACGAAAATATACAGAGTTATTTTCTCACAATCATCAGAGTTTGTGACATCAACCTCGCAGGACTATGTTACTAACATGTTCCAGGAAGTTTAATAATTCATCAGATTTTAATTTCATTAGATTATACTAAAATAAATAGATTTAAATAGATCTAAACAGTTATAACTCTGTGCAGCACGGGGGTTCGCGGAGGACGCTTGCACGTATGAATCTAGAGTCGTATTCTAGAACTCTACTCAATGCTCAAGTCAGGATTGCATTGGAAACACAAGCACTGGAAATACGACCCTAATGGCAGGGACTTGAGTATGATTTCGAGTGCTTTAAACCATACTCAAATCTTGACTTGAGCATTGAGTAGAGTTCTAGAATACGTCACTTATTCTACCAAATACGGACTTAAAAAGTGTCAGATGGTAAAAAAAAACTTCAATGTTTATTTTTGGTAAATTTACTATGTTTTATAAAAAGTCATGCAACAAAAGTTGTTGTTTATCATGTTAGTAATATAGTCCTCCGAGGTTGTTAGTCTTTTACAAATAACCTTGTATATTGATGTCACAAACTCTGATGATTGTGAGAAACTGCAAGTAGATTTAAATAGTTTTTCAAAGTATTATAATGAATACCGTATTAAGGTCAACTTTAGCAAGTGTCAGGTTATTTATTTCCTTTTCCCGTCGACAAGGTGGTATAGAATGCACCTATAAAATCAATGGAGCTATAGTCGCTACGACGGGTATGGTGCATGATCTAGGTATCTCTCTGGATCATAAATTATTGATGGACAATCACATCAATTGTATAATCGTTAAAGCATAGAAAAGCCTTGGTTTGTTGAAGCGAGTTTGCCAGGAGTTTTCTAATGTGATGTGTCTTAAAACTTTATATTTCGCAAACGTAAGAAGCACGTTGACATACTGTAGTATAATAATGGTCACCTTTAAATAAAATCTATAAGAACCGAATTGAACGCATCCAACATATCACACCCTTCCATGGAAGAATGGCATAAATGGAATTACGTAAAACATGTTTATTACTCCATTAGATACAGAAAAATAAAACCCACATCCTCCATCCACATATAATTGGAGAGGATGTGGATTATATATTTCTGTATCTAATCTCCAATTGGTAAGGATGTGGGTTATATTTTTCTGTATCTAATGCAGCAATAAACATTTTTGACATAATTCCACTTATGCCATTCTTCCATGAGGAGTGCGATATATTTATAATTTTTTTAAATTACCATACCATAAGACCGAGATTAGATTGAAAACTGTAGGCATTATAATCTACTTACGTCAGAAGGGCGCAAAAACCTTTAATGTAATCTTATTATAGGAAATAATGAACTGAAGGATTTATTGTCCATCTCTGATGTCCCTTACCTGTCTACCGACCAGAGAGATAGGGTATTCCGGAGAGACTACGGGTACGCCGGCGAAACCAGAGTACAGAGGGCGTCCAGGCCTTTTTTTTTTTTTTTTTTGACGGAGGGGAAATCTTTATGGATACCCCTGAGCCCAGGGAGACTCAGGAGTTATGTGGGGACTCTCCCTCCAAACTGGAGGGACTACCCCACTAAAACCCCCCCGGGTTTCCCTCTCGCCGGTTGAGTCGGCGCCGTGGGATCAGTGAACATTCACCACGACGCCGCCCGGCCGCCCTAGCTTACGCCAGGGCTCCCGCGCCAACGGAGGGGCGAGTCGGTTGTCCTCCGACCCACCCCCCAGACGAGTGAGGCCGTGCAATGCAGACTCCGGAGTCCCTGTCCAGAGCCCGCTGGTATCACTAGGGGATCAGGCGAGCAGCGAACTGCCTTCGCCTTCTCCCCGTACGTCTGCGCCGGAGCGGGTGCGCGTCTGCCGCGTCCTCGCGCACCCGCTCCGCAGCTTCCTTTTGCGACATAACCCCTGCGCAAAAGGAGGCCACCGCCTCCCAGGACTCCTCGCTATCGAGCATGGCGGCAACCACGCTCGGCAGCGAGAGGTCCTGCCCTACAGTCCCCGTCAGAGTGCGGCGCTGCTCATCCCACCGGCTACACACCTCTAGGGTGTGCTGCGCGGTGTCATCCGCAGCGCCGCACTCGTGGCACGACGGGGACGGTTCCCTCCTCGCCACCTTGTGCAGGTAGTGACCGAAGCAGCCGTGCCCGGTCAGCACCTGCACAAGGTGGTACGACAGTGGCCCGTGGGACCGGTTTACCCACTCAGGGCGTCCAGGCCTAGTAATCCGCCAGTGAAACTTTACCTTCACGGGCATCTGGCGAACCCGGACTTGGGTAATGTACTCGCTGGGGTTGGTTAGCTGTAGGGATGAACATAATTCGTTTGCCCCGATGGTCGGGGCTCAACGGCTTAGCGGTGGCGACGGTTAGTGCGCGATGCGCAATAGGAAGTGAGCATGCTTACAGCTCCGGTACCTATCTGGAAAATAGAGAAGGTACTGTGCATGCACCCGGAGCAGCTCACCCACGGCTCTAGCCTTTGAAGAACCGAACGAAGTCCGTGCAAGCGAGCTGATCTGGGGTCAGCACCTGACTGAGCGGGCTTGCTTGCATATGTTATAGTGCCCTTCCCGTATAACCAAGAGGTTGATAGGAAGGGTCACTATAAACAAAACTTACATAGAAAAGATATGTGACTGTCCATCTCTGAACGAAAGTACAAATTTTAACACCCCCTTAAACGCACTGCTTAGTCCACCTACATCGGATAAATTATGGTCAAAATCCTATTATTTCGCGTATTTCAAGACTATAACAATTTCGTAGACTGGATCCATTTTGTAATTAAAAAGCAATTTTTAAAAATGAAGTAGTAAAAAACATGTTGGGAGATTTTTATTATTATTACGCCTGTGAAGTACTATTACACGTAGAATGTAATAACTGAAGAAGAAGAAAAAGAATTGTGAATACTTTCTTTATTGGTACAATGTCGTTTGAGCTGTTAATTTCCCAAATTTAAATAAATAAATGCTTGTAGTGCACAAACTCTAAGGTTAACTGTAATTCAAAAATATTTCTTAGACAGTCCTATTAAGTTTTGCTGTGTCTAGATAAATACTCTTTGACACTTACATACTATTCAGCCGTTGCAATACCATTGTGCTCGATAATTTTCAGTATATTAAGTTGTTAGCACACATTGAACTTGCACAAGATGTACAATTTAGGCTCAAATGCTGTTGTCAACTACATTGGTTTTGCTTGCTTGTATGTTTTTAATAAACGCATGTAGTATTTTGGAAATGAAACTATTACACCTAACCAACTTTAATACGAGGAAGTTCTCAATTCAACTGCATTTTTTTGTGTATAACATGCGATACGATTACTCTTTTTTTCTTGGAAAGGGGATCCCTCAGTAGTAGGCCCAATCAAATTTGAAGAAAACCTAGAGCTGATCTGATGATAGAAATGGCAGACAGATGAGAGGAACTCTTCAACAGTGTACAGTAGCTTCTTTGTTTTTGGACTCATATGATTCGTTTTGACAATGACTTCCAATGTGTTTCCGTTATAGTTGAGGAGACCGCGGTAACGAACACAGCGAAAGTGCATGAGCAAACTTTTGCGTTTTTTTAGTTTGAGTTTTTTTATAAAAAATGTTATAATTATTTGGAACTAAAATCGCGTTTATTTACTTTTTCAAATAAACCAAAGTTTGGGGTTCTTTACAGGTCCAGTAGTTTCATTTGGAATGTGTACCAATTGCGACAACCTAAGAACTCGATATGTAATATTATTTAAACAAAAATAAAATTTTATTTAATTTTTAGTAATACGTAGTTATGTATTACTATAATTAAAGCAATTAAAGTCTTAAATATTAATTAGTAGCTCTTGAAGTCAAAATAGATAAAGTAGGAAATATTTATGTATCTAAAAAATTGTTTCAAAAAAAGATGTTTTTAAATATGTCTCATGCCCCAAAATGTCTTTAATACTGTGTACTATTTTTCCCCTTCGCAGCACTGTTTCATTTACGATGAAAACAACATTATTAACTCGTTCGCCTATTTTCGAAATAATATTTGTAAAATTAATATATAATATTTCACCATACTTCATTGTGACCTTATGAGCACTTCCATAAGTTGAAATAATTCACAATCAATGATTGTTTGCCTGTTTGGTTAGGCATGATAGCACAAATGAACTTCACACATTTTTTTTTTAGTTTTTGCGAACTCGTAACAAGCAATAAGTCAATATTCTTTTAATGCATTACAGACTACTTGCAATTGAAAACCCATTTATGTAATCACCATTACCCTTATTCATTAGGAGAAATAAACCCCCCAGGGCCGAGCGACAATGACGAGTCTGAAGATGAAAATGTAAGCAATCTATATCAAGAGGCTCGGCTACCATTACAGGTAACTGAAAATTGTACTTATTGTCAACAGCACACTCAACTTCACACTTTGGATTTAGGAATGTTGTAATAATAAGTGGCAAAAAGTTTAATTTAAAACTTTACTATGAAGCTTAGAGTGTTGGTGACATTTTTTATTTATTAGGCAATTTTGTACATGAAAGAGAATTAGTGCGTGTATTACTTATTGCAATATCTATTTTAAATGTTTGACGTTTTAAATTTGTTATAACCCTAGAGGACGGAAAGAAATAGTCTAAGCTTATAACGCATCTACTTGAAAGTATTTTATTTCTAGTTCATTAATGTGCAAATGCTATTTTAAGTTGTAATTTAGATACCATTTAATGTAGCTGTAATTATACGGCATTTTTATACTTCCTGTTATAATTTTAAAACAGGTGTCAAACGCTGCAATAGGCGCCCTATCCGCGGGGTACGTTACGAGGTCTCCTTTGAAATATGATGATTTCACCTAATCACCAATTTAGCGAAATCACTATATGTATATATCTAAATCATCGCAACTGCAAAACAGTGGTGATCAAAGTACAATTGAAAACTAACATGTACACAAAAAGACTTAAGCTGGCAATTTTTAAGTAAAAGTACGAGGGGGTGTTTTTATATTCGCGGAATGGGGGATAAGGAGTGGAAATAAAAAAACCAAATTATTTTTCCTTTTCAATATATTCACCTGCAAGACGAATACATTTTTCAGATCTTTCAATTAATTTATTTATACCCTCATAAAAAAATGATTGGTCTTTGTCTATAAAATACGCCGAAACTGCCTCCTTGACTTCATCATCGGTGGTAAATTTTTTACCCCGCAGCTCTTTTTTCATTTTTGGAAACAGGTAATAATCACTCGGGGCCAGGTCTGGGCTGTAGGGTGGGTGATCTAAAATATCGAAGCCCACCTTATGCAGGGCAGCCAACGCAACGCGGCTCTTGTGAACGGGCGCGTTGTCGTGCAAAAGCAACACACCTTTCCTTCCTTAAGGTGTGTTACCTTTCGTCAATTTTCCCTGTCTTTTCTCCTTAATGGCTTCTTTAAGTCGCTCTAATATTGAAGCGTAGTATTCCCCGGTTATAGAAACACCTTTATCTTTATAGTCAATTAATAATATTCCTTCCGAGTCCCAAAAGACCGTTGCCATGATTTTCCCAGCTGACTGTGACACCTTAAACTTCTAGCTGCGCCCTTTTTATGCCACTGCATGGAGTCTTGTTTCGACTCAGGTTCATAATGATGAACCCAAGTTTCGTCTCCAGTAACAATTCGACTCAATACATCATCCTTGTCGTCATTACAGAGGTCCAAAAATGCACGTGAACACTCGACGCGCTGTTGTTTTTGCGGCGGCGTGAGCATTCTCGGCACCCATCTTGCACTGACCTTAGTCATGCCAAGATGATCATGAAGAATTTTAAAAATGGTTGTATCTGATGCTCCAACCATTTCTGCGAGTTGTTTCTTCTTTAGTCGAGAATCTTCCAGTACAATTTTTTCAACTTTTTGGATAAGTTCTGGCATGGTCACCTCGATGCTCCTGCCCGGCCTCGGATCGTCTTCAAGGGATTCCCTTCCTTGTTTAAATAAATTGTGCCACTTGTACACCATGGTTTTTCCTGGACAAGAGTCGCCGTAAACCAATGACATCTCATTCATTATGGTCGCAACTGATTTTCCTTGCTTTGTAAGGAACTTTATAACGGCACGATATTCGATTTTTTCCATATTTCACTTTTCACTCCCAATTATGTTGCTTGATTGACGATAACTCAAAGACTAATGGTCTAATAATAATAATAATAATAACGCACACACTCAACATAGCCCCGCACTAGGGAAACCCTGTGTCGCGGGTGCCATGGACACACACATAGACAACCACAAATTACACCCAAACTCACGAGAGAAATAAATGTAGGCCATACAAATATTTCTCCCGGCCCGGGAATCGAACCTGGGACCTCTGCGTGGCAGTCCGGCATGGTAACCGTTCGGCCACGGAGGCAGTTAATAGCAATGAAACCTCGTATTTATACTAATTATGAGTCACTGAACACGTTACGACCCTAATGAGCCTAATCACCCCCCCACAACCCTCTCATTCCGCGAACTTAAAAACGCACCCTCGTAACAAGTCGGCTCATTGAAAGTCAATTTATAACAATATTTTTTTCCATTACTTCAGTATTTCTCACAGCCAATTTTGCAGGAGGTATTGGCCAAATATGAGAACAAGTTGAGCACACTGCACCGCGCACGGCTTGGGGACACCACGACACCGATGTCGCCTTGTCTGCGCGCCAAGAAGAGTGCTGATGAACCTGGCAGCTCTGGTAAGACATTACTATTCTATAAAACATTAGTGTCAAATTCTAGTTTTGTATTTATGTAAAATGGTATATATAAACTTATAATGCGGTTGTCGACCTCAATTATTAATTTATCGACTCAGAAATGTATGTTAGTTTTTTTTGGCAATATTATTATGTTTGTTATATTACGAGTTTTAATAAAAATTCATTAGGAGTCATTGTAATTTTTTAAATTAAAATCTTGCCATATAAACTCATAAGTTATTATTTTCTTTTAAATCTGACTGTCTCTGCAGGAGCATCGAGTTCTAGCTCTGGATTTGGCTTTGCAGCTGGCTCTAGCTCTGAACCATCTAGTGGAGCAGCATCTTCCAGCAAGAATGGACCTACCGAGGGATCAGGTAGCAAAAATGATGAAGATACTGGGGGAGTCTCATCCACAAACTCTTATGAGGAGGATAAAGATGTAAATGGAGAGGTAAGCTAACAAATATTGATAGTAAGAACTAGAAAACATGATGTTTTGAACAGCATCAATTTTTCCCAATGAACAACAGCATTACCTACAACAATAACAAAACAACACAGTCAACAGTGGACATGCAATAACATTACCATGGTACTGTAGCAGGCTGGATCAGTTTATGTTTAGAATTGTATAAATAATAGAAGGTTGTTGTCAAATGGACATAAGAGTTCTGGATAAAGCTTTCAAATTGAATACACGCATAAAGTTTTATTTATGAATATAATCTTGGTTTATCATTGAAAAGTTCCTTTCGCAACGCAATCTCTCGACTACGTCCCTATTACAGTACGTACAGTTAATTTTATTATGTATTTAGTTCTTGCTTAATTTCTGACATCTTTCAGGTGTCCACTAGTGATCCTTTAGAGCAAAAAGATACACCTGCAGCAGACAAGCCAAATTCTACAGCACCAGACAGTTCTGGTGACAATTGCCATCAACCAGAACAAAGCGCAGATGCAAAGGTGCCCGACAATGCAGGTGGCGATGCCTGCAATGGAGAGGTCACGGATTCAAAGCAAGTTGACGGTGAAGAGAGCAACATTACTTCTTCTAATGGTTCAGCTACACTCAAAGGAGGAAAGGCTAAAGGTGAGTTTTGCTGATATTATCAAATAGCATCAATATTTACTACTACTTTACTGCATCAAATTATTTGATAATTGTTTATTTAGCATTAATAGTTTGATGGTAATATATAATATATATATAATCATATAATAATATAATATAACCATAATCAGGTAGATCAGAACGTAGCGAAAAAGGCCTACTAAAAATACTTTTTATTCTAACTCATTCAGTTAGATTTCTTCAGAGTATTTTTTAATTACCTTGTATTTATCCCATCAGACAAAACATCACCAGTATCAAGTTCAGAGAAGGTGCTTCCCGAGAGGCCGAAGAAGTCAAAATTGCGTCGCGCGGCTGCAGCGGTATACGAATCTCTACTCCGCCAAGCAGTTGAAGAAGATGATGATGAGAGTGACTCCAACGACGAGACTTTCGAAGGCGGAGAACTTAATTCTTCAGATGAAGAGAACGTTAACGGCGTCGATGATTCTTCTAACGATGGTGAGCTTTATTTTTTACTAGAAGGTCCCCAACATTAGAATAAAGAACACCTTCACAGTCAAGTTACAGAATTCAAACATTTAATAAACAAAAAGTTGTTAATTGAATCCAAAACATTGTCCCAACATTTAAGTATCCTTTAATTTCTTTTACAACCTTTACGAATGGGAAGTAAAAGTTATGACTTCTTATGAACCAAAGTAGTATAAATATATTGTATATTATAGAAGATAAAGGCGAAGACGATGATGAAGAAGAGTGCGAAGAGGAGTCAAGTGAGGAGGATATAGAAGAGGATCTCAGCATGACAGAGGAACCAGGGAACGACAGTGGCTGCACCGCTGTTGTCGCACTGCTCAAAGGTCAGTTCAATTTGTATTTATAATTAACATGTAGAACAAAATCTCAACTAAATCGGTTCATTATCGCAATCCTAAAAAAACAGAAATAACAAATGGCTGAAGTGTATAAATGGAATTTGTATGTTACAGGTAATGAACTGTACGTGGCAAATGCGGGTGACTCGCGTTGCATCATTTGCAGAGAAGGCAAAGCAATTGACATGTCGATTGACCACAAGCCAGAAGACCCCCCAGAGCTCGAACGCATCACAAAGGCCGGAGGAGAAGTATCCAACGACGGTCGCATTAACGGAGGACTTAATCTCTCGAGAGCCATCGGTGACCATTCTTACAAGCAGAATAAGGATCTCGGCGCCAAAGAGCAAATGATCACTGCTCTTCCCGATGTGAAAACCCTTACAATAGACCCAGAAAAGGATCAGTTCATGGTGCTAGCTTGCGATGGAATATGGAATTTCATGTCTAGTCAAGACGTTTGTGACTTCATCCTGCCAAGGTTAGCAGAGGGCAGGGAAAGGTTATCTCAGATCTGTGAGGAGGTTAGTACCTTTTAACAAACTGACAATGTAATTTTAACTTTGTTATGTTATTTACATGGTTATAATATAAATCGTCTTTTTGCAGATGTTCGATCACTGCTTGGCGCCGAGCACAATGGGCGATGGCACAGGCTGTGACAATATGACAGCTATTATCGTGCGATTCAAGAATGGACTTATAGCCGAAGTCGGGCAGGTCTCGAGCAACGGCGAAGGTTCCAAGAAGCGCGCAGCTGAAGAGGAACCAAGCACAGAGGAGCAACAGGACTCCAAAAGGCAGAAGGTAGATGATCCTCTCTCAAGTTCTGTGGTGACTTCTAGTGTTTAAACCATGAAACTTCAAGAACAGTGTTCAAGCTACGCATAAGATTGTGAAGTTTTTGATGGAGACTATAATTGATTAGGATATTATTTTCAATGGATGTACGAAATGGTTACATTTAATTTCAGGACTAGTTTTCTGTAATATTTGAATATTTTTGCATAAACTCTGTTCATATTCAGTGTATTCGTATTCACGTGTTCACTTGATAAGAGAACGATTAATGATTGAGAGCGTAGTTTTGAGAAGCCATTGCCTTTAGGGTCGAAATGACCCAATTAGCAGCTAAGTGTCAATATGGTGAAAATTGTTAATCAATTAATAGAAAAGTAGATGTGTGGACAACACGACATAGAAATTAATAAAATTCACTAGCTTGTGAGAACCTAGAGTTGTCTGGGTTTTAGATATATGATTAGTGAGGTAATCCTTAATGCATTTTCAAATAAAATGAGCAAGTTATGATTAATTGGTCGAAAGTTGCTTTCAGGTGTTCGAGATATGTTCTAACAAGATGTTAAATGGTTTGAAGTGCTACATTGTGTTGTGTTGTATTATGTATGAAATATATTATTAATAAGATAAAAAATAAATTTTAAAAGGCCAAATGTGCCAAGTAGCTTATTAATCTTATATTTGATACATAAAATGATACATGATTTAGTGATTTATGTAACATTAGAAAGGAGTTGCTCTTATTAATAAATTTCAGAACTGATTTGTTGAATGTAGTGATTAGTTTGTAAGTTGTTAGTGTAAGATTTAGAATCTGTGACAATTTATATTGTTAGCTGCAGTCTTATAATGCAAGCATACATTGTTTCCAATGCTAGAAGAGGCATTTAATAGTTTTGGCTCTTTCTTATTTTAGTAAACAGCTTTATAGACCCATGGAATGTAGATGTAATATTAAAATGTAACGTTAAAATTTTTGATATTCAAGTATGACTTAGTTAACACTTAAATTGAGGTTCAAAATACTATGTTAATCCTATGCTTTTTATGATTTAATGCTATAAATTGTGAATCTTTATATGATACAGATAGACATTATTATCAGGCAACTTATGTATGACCAGTATGAATAAAAAGCGTTTTATATGGATTGACCGAAATTTGTGTGATTTCTATTAAAAACTTAGTATTACAATTAGGTAGTGATAAAAATTCATAATTGTGTTATTTTCCTTAAACCTTAATTCAGTCGGATTGGTGTTGCATTCAAAGTGCCACTTGCTAGGTAATTATGTAAAATGTATTTGAATTCAAAACTAGGTGATTGGTACACTTTGGCGTTCCTAAAAAAACTGAGGTGTGTAGATATAAATTCAATAATTTATGTACGTTAATCTGTATTAGTAATAGGTAGTATATTTTTGTAATCATCATAAACTTGACATTTACAATTATCATATGAGATCAAGACGTTTCTAAATCAAGTTTGTTTTTGGTATTGAATTTTCTTATGTGTAAATTACAGGAAAATTTACAGATCACCTCATTTATTTGTATGTTTTGACCATAGAACTTCTCATTTCATGTGTGTTTCAATGAAAATTACATTTTACAGACTGTATCTTAGTTTTATTATCTCCAGTTAACAATTATCTTATACTCTTAACACACTATCTAATCTGAGTCAAATACTCTATAGTTTCCAGTTGTGTCGCTTCCAAGATCTGCATTGCATCATATTCACTATCCAATTGCTCCAAAATCACTGTTTTGTCGTTTATCTCAGTCTAAATAAAATACAAAATGCCCAATTAATGACAACTAATCATCAAATTGCTACTTAAAGTTAGGTTACCAATATATACAGGGTGTTTGGAAGGTCGATGCAAAGCCTTAATGTGAAGATAGTATAGACTATTTAGAAGCATTTTAGGTAGGGTTGTCTAAGACGAAATCTAAACATTTTTTTTAAT